AACTCCGGTTCCTAAAATACCGATAACATAAATGATTGCAGTTAGATGAATGAAATTGTATACTTGAGTAAAAGGTCTTATTCTCTCAATACATTTTTGAGTTATTTCTGGTGACAGGAAGTAATACTTTTGTCTATTTTTGACTTCTCTAGTAAGATCAATTCTACAGGACCGATTTCTTTCAAACTTTTCACGTAGATCAAGACTCGATTACAATGCAAGGTGACATAAAATGATACTTAATTAGAAGTTTTGTCACAGAAAAGTTTAGGGGAGATCATTCCCTCTTTATTTGAACTGAAAAAAAAACCGTGAAATAATAGAAACTTCGATTAGGTCCAAATAGAACAATGCATTGTTTTACTAACGTTTTGTTGGTGAATTCAGATATCAGCTTTGGACAAGAGCATAGTTAATTGTAATTCGTACCGAGATATAAGACTGTCCATCGACTTATAACTATATTGACGTATACAAAAATTCTGGCAGATGCCTACCAATCCAGTCAACGTCAATTTTTTTTTACCTGAGATAAAAACATGTTTGGGACATTTTACCTGTCATAAAGTCAAATTGGAAAAAAATTAGCCGACAGAGACAAGCTGGGGAATTTTTACCTGACATAAAGACAAGATGGGACTATAGACGTCACTTGGTCCACTCAGATGTACCGGACTCGTGTGAGGGAAAGTAAAGGTGGCTGGGCATAGTGCTGACCACACCATTCCTTCATACGCCATTGCCAAGGTCAAGAAACATGAACTCTACTTCATCTGTAGGTCAGAATAGTCAGAAAGGGGAGGTTTACTTTTTTTTTTTACATTAATAAGGCAAGATGGTGACATTTTTACCTGCCAAAGGCGGGGGGGGGGGGGAAGCTTAGCCTACTGACCACTTACGATGTATAGCAACAGGTGATATCTACTTGACCGGCTTAATGAACCGTCACGTCTAAAAATAGCCCAAGTAGTGCGTAGCTTTGTCCACTAGTTCAACCATGGCCAGGCTTGGAGGCAGGGGCGTAGCGAGGGGGGCGGGGCGGGGGTGCGGACCGCACCGGGTGACACCCTTTAGGGGGGGGGGGGTGACACCAAGGCAAAAATAGCAACATATATAAAGAAAAACTTGAGGGGGGGGGGGTGCAAATCGAAAGTTTGGGGGGGGGGGGGGGTGCAAATCAAAAACTTGAGGGGGGTGCAAATCGAAAGTTTGAGGGGGGGGGGGTGCAAATCGAAAATTTGAAAGTTTGTCCCCGGGAAGGGTCGTTACGCCTCTGGGAGGGGGGGGGGGTGACACCATTAAGTGCCGCACCGGGTTACACCCGACCTCGCTACGCCACTGCTTGGAGGTACACGGTCCCCTGATAGAAAGATAGTTGAGTTGAAAGACGGAAGTTGGCGGGAAGGCATCAACCCAAGCGTAAGAACACACTAGCAAAACGCCAGTCCGCCGCGCGCTTTAATTTTGTCACTTTTATGTACGCAATTACGGGCATTGTTATCGTGGGGGTCAAGCCCTGAATTGATGTGTAATCAGACGAAACAGAAACCAGTGGCCATGCGTATCTCATCGCGAGGGGAAAGCGCGGAGCCTGGAGATGACCCGTCTAAAATTAGCCGCAGTCGAAGGCACCGTCAGGCTTTGTCACTGTATAGTATAATCCAAGTTGTGTACGTTGTAGCCATTTTTGGATTCCGTCCTTCCATAAAAACACGACCCGCGTATTAATATCTGTCATGACGTCACGTTTGCTTCTTTGCACGTGTATTCTCCAAGTACCAAACATAAAGGCCTACGACTTTGCCGAGAATGATGATAAAAAGATCTATCGTTATAGTTTTATTTTCTATCGCAGCAATGTCATCGTCTCAAAAATGTGTTGACTTTTAAGTTATTATGAATACCGGCAAAAATCACAAGGGAGTGTAGCAATGTTTGCGGGAAATATCAGTGAGTGGGAGGTGTGTGTGTGGGGGGGGGGGGGGGGGTTGAAATCACATGTGTTGGTAATAAAGTTTACGGCAAATATCAGTGTGTGTTGGGGGGGGGGGGCGACTTATTGGGGATAATCACAGGTGTTGGTAACATTGTTTACATGAAATATCAGTGTGTGTTGGGGGGGGGGGGGGGGCGGACTTGGGGGATAATCACATGTGCTGGTAACAATGTTTACCGGGAAAATTAGTTGTGGGGAAACATCAAAGGTGCTGGTAACAATGTTTGAGGGAAATATTACTATTAGTGAGTACGGACAGGAGGCTTATCGATTTGGTGGGCTATTTATCAAGAAACTGTAAAGACACTGTTTAAATCATCTTTAGAGTAGCCTACCTTATTAAAATGACTGTAATAAAAGAAAACATAACAATGACATCTGCTTTATTAGGCCTGGCCTACATGTAAGTTAAACGTGCTTGTTTTTTTTGTTTTTTTTTTTTTTGTATCGCCTATCACACCCAACATGTTAGGATCAATTCAGCAGGGTTAGCAGCTCCTTCATCTTTAATCCAATTGAAACACGTATAGGATCACGTGAACAGCATTAGCTCCACCCATCGTCCTGACATCAAGATTTTTGTATTTTGAAACAGAAAGCCATAGATTCAACCTTTAAATTTTATGACGCCCGTCCCTCCACACGACTATTTCTTGACACAATCCACTCACGACCTGACGTGGTTCTAAAACAGTGTCCAAGTTGCACCATTCCGCTGATTTTATCCCCCCCCCTCCCACTCCGACTGGAATCAAAAAGCTCTACGTGACCTCCCAGCGAGTTCTAGAAGTTCGGTGGTGACCGGCAGCCCTCTTCGCCGCGTAGGACTCTTCATACAGATAGTTGTACTACTTGTAGACAGGTCACACCATGAGACTTGTCGAGTGAGACACATACAGACAAATGGTTGCTATCCCCCATACCCTAGTGTTGTGTTACCCCCATACCCTAGTGTTGTGCTACCCCCATACCCTAGTGTTGTGCTACCCCCATACCCTAGTGTTGAGCTACCCCCATACCCTAGTGTTGAGCTACCCCCATACCCTAGTGTTGTGCTACCCCCATACCCTAGTGTTGTGCTACCCCCATACCCTAGTGTTGTGCTACCCCCATACCCTAGTGTTGTGCTACCCCCATACCCTAGTGTTGTGCTACCCCCATACCATAGTGTTGTGCTACCCCCATACCCTAGTGTTGTGCTACCCCCATACCCTAGTGTTGTGCTACCCCCATACCATAGTGTTGTGCTACCCCCATACCCTAGGTTGTGCTACCCTCATACCCTAGTGTTGTGTTACCCCCATACCCTAGTGTTGCGTTACCCCCATAATGTTGTGCTACCCCCATACCCAGTAGCGTAGCGAGGGGGTGGGGGGCGACATATGTCCCCGGGCGCCGACCTTAGGGGGCGCCAAAATGGGTTGGAAAAATAAATTGAAAGGTCGAGGGGGGTGCAAATCAATAGTTTGAGGGGGGGTGCAAATCGAAATCTTGAGGGGGGGGGTGAAAATGGAAAGTTTGAGGGGGGGGGGGGGTGCAAATCGAAATCTTGAGGGGGGTTCAAATCGAAATCTTGAGGGGGGGTGCAAATCGAAAGTTTGAGGGGGGGGGAGGTGTAAATCAAAATATTGAGGGGGGGGGGGTGCAAATAAAAAAGTTTGTCCCCGGGCGCCGGGAAGGGTCGCTACGCCTCTGAGCCCATACCCTGTGTTGTGTTACCCCCATACCCAAACGTTGTGGGGGTTCCTACTCAAATTTAGATTAAATATAAAAATTAGCCTATTTTGTCTTCTCATCTAAAAAACAAATCCACAAAAATAAAAGACATTTAATGTATGAGAGTATTAATTTTTCAAAATCAATTACTTTCACGATTTGTCTCTCAGACTCATACCGATTTATGATTTTGTTTTACTTTTCCTCAAGTTCGCCAAGATATGGTGATTTAGTTTGGCCTACACAATTTTTTAGGTCGATTCACCTCGACAGTCACCACTCCTTGCTTACCATTTAAATAATTACCTCGTGAGGAGGAATTTAACCAAAACGTCCTTGAACTTTATCTGACCTACTCTGTTTAGGAGGCCGATCATAATGCTAAATACCATAGACATTTTTTATATAACGGCCTATGAAATTATAAAATAATAAATGAGAGTAAATTACGTCATGAATTAGGAGGGACTTGTCAACCTTCATCATTGTTTTTAGATCTAGGTCTAGCTAAAAAAAATGTTTTTTTAATTGAGCGGTACTATCGACACAAATAAAAAAACAACCGGGAGTGATCTCCCCTAAACTTTCTCGAATATTCTTATAGTACAACTACGGGGGATGGCACCTCGGGATATAGACATGATTTTTAATCAATTTTTAATTACTTAAACTTTTTAGAATATAATATAATCTCTTAGAAAAAAGAATTGCGCACCAAGTGAACACCAAACAATCTGTGTATAATAGTGCGGAATATTATAAGTACTTTATAAATTTACATACGTTTTTTTGAGAAATCGCAAATAGCGAAAATTACTACTTCCGGTCAACGGAAATAACTCAAAATTTGACAAAAGTTAGAGAATTAGATCTTTTACTTACATGTGAAATTTCAAATATCTATCTGAACTAGTACTTACATTATAGGCTTTTGAAAAATAGAAAGTAGAAAAAAAATCCACTTCCGGTTACCGGAAATCGCCGAAAAGTTGATACAGAACTAGACATTTGTTATTTTACTTATATATGAAATTTCATCAACCTATCTGTAATGGTACTCAAGTTATCGTGTTTACAGACACACACACACAGACATATGGACACGATTGCTAAACTATGTTTTTCCGACTCAGGGAGGTGTAAACGTCGAGATTTGAAAAAATCTCGATTTTTTTTGTTTGCACGATTACAATACTTTCTCTATACTTCGAGAAAGTATTGGTTATAATCGAGCTGCAGGATTTGACCACACACATTTACAGTAAATTACAGGCAACAAAAGCAGACCAGTGTTTCAGACTTTGTGCTCCGGGGGGGGGGGGGGGGGGGGGCGTGCGTCAGGACCGCACCGGGCGACACCATACAAGGGGGGTGACACCATTCAGGGGGGGGGGGGGATGACACCAAGAACAAAAAATTGCAAGATAAATAAAATAAATGTTTTTTTTTTGCCAGTTCAATGAATCGTTAATAAGAACTCACAAGTATTTTAAGTACGTAATGACGATCTCGACAAAATATAGAGAAAACAATGCTACACCCAGCTGTATTAACAGCCGAATATAGGTAAACATCGTTAGTATTAAAAGTGAACACTTTAAAGCTTTTACCGGAGGGGGGGGGGGGGGGGGAGAGACACCAACTGCAAACTTTACAGAGCCCCAAAAAAAAGTTTGTGTGGTAGTGTGTGACAGAGTGACAGCATAAGGTGCCGCACTGGGGGGTGGGGGCGGATCCTCTTTCCGAAGAGATGCCTGAAAGAAACTGAAGCAAACAAGAAACTCAAAGATAAGCTTGTAATAATTTTTATTTAATTTATTAAAAAGAAAAGGCTAAGTCTATATGCCTAGTCTAGCATAGAAGTAAACTTAGCATAGATATATAAATTAAATCCAAACTTTTTTTCCTTTTTAAATTTTTTTAATTTACTTATGAAAAAGCTGGTTCGATATAACGAAAGAAAACATTTACTTCAGGCTTAGATCAACCGGCGTAGATCTAATACTTAATCTTAATGTATTACTTTTTAAAAACAATATGCCGTTATTATCATTTTTAAAAATACAAAACAAACAGTAGATCTAGACCTACACCACTGGTGCGAAGTTATCGCACACTACAAAATGTGAAGGCATGTGTAAAAATGCATGGTACGCACTTCCTGGTGAAAATAATGTACACACTAGGTAGTAATAGCTCCGGGGTATGTTCAAGCTACTAAATTTATGAGGAAGCTTTTGTGGAGATTGTAATGTATTAATAATTTATATTTCGTGTCAAAATTAAAAATAAACATCCAATATTACCAGCATAATATGATGTAACCAAAATGAGTATACTCAACACATTCAAGTGTACGATACCAAATCAATATTTTCTTTTCGTAAGTAAAATTAAAATAGAAGAATTTGTTATGCCATATAGCTATATTAAGCCTATCTATATTCCAATTTTTTTTTAATGATGGTGACACATCTGCATGTTTATGGGTGAGCTAATAGTAAAAGTAAGAATGTACGTATTTATTAGCTGAATACTATTCGATACAGTGATATTCCTTTTTAAAGACTACATCGCGTGTCGCTAAAACTCTGTTACCCATATTTCATTAAAAAAAAATCGCCAATCGAATTATGTAATATATTCCGAATTGAGATATATTTGTAAACGATTTATGTTTATGTATTATAATAGTGTCTACGCCGTATTAATGAAAATATTTTATTTCAAAGTAAATTTTGTAAATAAATATTAGATCTCTAAAATATTATTTAAAATATGGGGTTAAATAATTATCTGATACTTCAAGAAATTTCGGGAAAAATGAGTAAAAGGATACTCTTAAAATTCGGACACATTTAAACTGTTTTTGCTTGTGTACGCTGATAGGCCTAACTTATAACTCAACTGTGCTGTACGTTAAAGGAGCTTTAGCATACCCACATACTTCACGATGTTGCTAAGCTTGAATGGGCCTGCGCACTGCGCGGAATAATTTTACACTGCTTATCAGCAGGAACTACTTTTTAGTCTGTGGCGGGCGCGGCCATTTTGTAGAGACCGATATTATTTTAATTTCTAATCGTTTTCAATCGTCATTTTGAAATTGCCATCTGCCTAACAAGAAATGGCAGACAGAGAGGATAGTGTTTATCAAGCTAAGCTTGCTGAACAAGCAGAGCGATATGACGGTAAGTTTAAAATCTTAGTTGTTCTAGGTGACCCCGCCGTCCCATCCATTGCCGGATCCTGCATTTAACGGCAAGATAACAACCTATCTCTTTATTAACGTTCTAAATCTAGATTGTATGATGTTCCCTTCAAGACCTTCAATGCATTTTCCATTGTAAATATCAAATATAATTTTATTATTAATTTCCCCATATAATCATGATCTTTGTCTAATTTTTCTAGTTTACAACCGTTCTGCATTCCTTTCATTTTTCTTAAGCGGTCGCCATTTTTTTGTCTCTGACTCATACAATTTTGTTCCAAATATCTGAAATTTATCAATTCCCGACGTAATTAATTACAATTACCCCTCATACATATGCCTCTAACCAACTTGAAGCTTGTGAATTACACAATAACCAGCTTAAAATACAATTTACTTGGTGGTAACCAGATTGTCACACCCCTTGTTTTTATGTTCACTCTTCTTACTCTTAGTGAACAGTTACAGTTGGTGTATTTTAGATTTAACAATATCCCTGAAGCATAAAATATTAAAACTTACTTTAGAATCTAGTCTAGATCTAGAATCTAGATGTTCTAGAGAGATTTTTATTTTAGAAAAGCTAGTTCTAAATTTATAAATGATTTGAATGGGGGTTGCAAGGCAAAATATTTTTGAGTGACTAATGAAAAGGGAGTGTTAGATTTTGCCAACTTGCAGGTTCAAGTTTTGTCATTATTTCACTGAGTTCAGTCTGGTGTGGTATAGAGTATAGACTCTAGTAATGGTTATCATTTGACAAGATCTTGTTTTCTTGGGACATGCTAGAATCTAGACATAAGTTTAATTGTTGTAAGGCAATTCAAAGCCATACAAGCTAGTTTCCTGCTGTTGTGGTCTCAGTCAGGGTACAAAAGTACCAGGTTTATTTGATGAATACAATTCTGATTAGGTTAGCAATACGAGCAAAAAACTGGATGGGCTATGTTAAAGCACAAGTAGTTCTGTTTTGGGGACATAATATTTGTACATTTCTTTTCCAGTTGCAGTAAATTATGAACTTAAGTTTGGCAATTCAATTACCATCTTTTCCTGTTCATGCCTAAGACACATGAGGCAGATGAAGTAGAATTAATCTTGTTTCAATTACCACTGCATATGGGGGAATGTGTGGTCAGCACTATGTCTGTCTTGATTTCCCTAAGTCATGTCTTTGATTTCATCAACACCGGGTGGTTAATTTCAATTCTGAATAGACATCAATGAGTCTATTCTAATGTTGCAGGTTTGCAGAAATGTGTACCAATATAGTAATGGCATACTCTAAATATTTTATCTAGGTTCCAAATACTTACAAAAGCCCATTAATTAAAACCCTTTTTTAAATCTGTTCCCAAATACATTTTTGGGTACATGTTATTAGTGTCCGGGAAATGCAACAATCTTCTTTAAAAGGTTATTGCTAGTAAACTAAATGCTATTTTAATGTGTGAATGTTAACACTAAACACAAACATGTGAGCAAATTATATAGTTTAGAAGCCAGCTATAATTAACTCCTAAAACTACATATTAAATGCTTAAGCCTGATAATGTAAAGCTTTTAATAATTTATTTTCAACTTGGCAAACAAGCATTTGCTCGTGTTCTTTTTTAGTTGCCAGGGGTAGTCATGTCTGCTAAACATAGTGTTACTAACAACTTAATACATCTATTTTTAAAAGATTATTGTTAGACATCATTAATACCAATCCTCTTAATTTTCAATTATGAAATGATTTACCATATACACACTTATTAAATATTCTAGTAGCTGTGAAATCTTGAAATAAAAATGAGTCTTGTTTTTCATGCGAAGTACAAAATACCTCAAACACTTCAACTTCATACTCTGCAAAGGCATTTTATAAAACAAAAAGCATTTTAATAAAACCGTTAGACTTGTTAATGTAGGGACTTCATTCTATTTTCATATATATTATTTTATTGGAGCATTGAAGTACAATATTTTAGATGCTTTTGTGGGGAAAGTTATTTTTCACGTGGCTAGTTTCCTTAGTTTGCATTCTTTAGATGCCTAGAAGTACATTTATATTATACTTTTCATTTTTCTATCACATTCAGTGACACCAATTATCTTTAACCCATTTGCAAAAAATTATCTAAAGATATGCGTATATATCTTGCTAATTACCTTCATCCTGTATTATACTGTGTCGTGTATTTCTTATACATGCATTTTAATCATTATCTGAGTCCACTAACTTGTATGAAAACAAGGATGAGGCATGACATAAACTGAAAATTTTGGAATGTACAAGATATATTGTAATCATGCTAACAAATTTGAGATTTTGATGGTATGTGTTACCTTTTCAGCTAGGTTGACAACATTTCATGTATAAGTATTATATCAGATGGGTAATTTTCTATTTTCTGGGTGATTCTCGGTTATTGGAAGTAGTACTAGATATTTTGAAAATTTAAGTTCAAATACTACTTGTAGATCTCAAGGCAATAAGAGCACATGCGTTGGAAGATGATAATGAAGCTGTAACATTGTATTGTATTATTGTAATTATAATCCTGTCAAAGTTTTTTGGTATTTTGTCTTAACCGCGATAAATGAACGCTATGAGAGTTCATAAATATATTAAGTAATATTTTCAAAATTTCATTGAGTGTACAGAATTAACTTGCAGTGTATATATTTTGCCCTTTTAAGGATGGGTGGTCTTAACAAGAAGTCAAACTTTAGCCATTAGCCTTACTTAGTAAATACTTAGCTATGAATTAGTTATTGAACATTATATGACTGCCTTTCCACTATCCAGTACAAATTGCACTAATTCTTATCAACTTTATAACTTTTTAAAATCTCTATCCATCTAGCTTATTCAGTTATTCACTGCATAAAAATGTCCTCATTCAGTGAACATAACATACTTATAAGGCATTCCTAGCCATTTAAGGTTATATATTTAACACAAACTTAAGCTTTTAAGTCAGATGCTGTTATACTGCAATACACATTAAAACTGAAATGTAAGTGGCAGCAGAGAACAACAGTATTTTTCAAATTGTTTCGTCACCTAAAATATAAACAACCAACAAATACATCTTTTTTTTTGAATAAAATTTTAAAAGTTAGGTTTTTTTTTACAATTTGTGAAATCTAGACAATAGTTACAATTGACTTAATTATAAAACCAAATTTGACTATTCTGAGGGGAAAAAATTAATTTGCTATGAGAAGTAGATCTTGTAGAGAAGTCAAACAAGCTGTTGAGATAAGTCTTAGAAGTTTAAAAAAAAATAGAACTTGGGCTGTGTATCAGACATTTATTTAAGAAAGAGCAGTTTCAAGCACATAACTTAATTAATTCAGATAGAAAATTAAAATTGGTATGGAGTTTTGAGAAGTATGAGCATTACACTTTAAAAAATGTGTTTAAAACTGAGACATGTTGACTTCAGTTTGAGCATTGGTATTGACCATTATATCTAAGTGTTCTGTAATAATTTAAAAATGGGAATAATAGAGGCAATTTTAAAATCACATGTTTAATATGCAATGTTTTATTTTATTAGTGTTAAAAACTATCTAAAAATATTTGTATTAATTTATTTCTCTAGAAATGGTAAGCTCAATGAAGAAGGTTGCCCAGCAAGACACAGAGCTGACTGTTGAGGAGCGCAACTTATTGTCAGTGGCATATAAAAATGTCATCGGTGCTCGCAGAGCTTCTTGGAGGATTGTAAGCAGTTTGGAACAAAAGGATGAAGGAAAGGTGTCTGAGGAAAAACAATCAATTACAAGGGAGTACAGAAAACAGGTTTGTTGTTTAATGTTATCTTGTTTTCAATTGATCAAAGAGCTTAATGAATTTTAAAATCATATATTTCATTAAATTTTAAACAATTTTTATGAACATCGCTTTAACCATCATTGTATTATTTTTACACTTGCTTTCCAGATTGAAACTGAACTTAATTCAATTTGCCATGATGTTCTACATGTTATTGACAACAATCTTATTCCAAATGCAGCCACTGGTGAATCAAAGGTCTTTTACTATAAAATGTATGTATATAATGTTGCACTAATATTGTTAAAGTGACCTTTTTTTTAAAAAAAATAAAAGTTATGTTTCATTTTCTAACTTTTGGTATGGTTTTTTTCCCCCCTTAATTTAGGAAAGGAGATTACCATAGGTATTTAGCTGAATTTGCCACTGGGAATGATAGAAAAGAAGCTGCTGAAAACAGTTTAGTTGCCTACAAAGCTGCAAGCGACATTTCTATGACAGAGTTGGCCCCTACACATCCTATTCGTCTTGGTTTGGCACTCAACTTCTCAGTATTTTACTATGAGATTTTGAATTCTCCTGATCGTGCTTGTCGGCTTGCCAAAGCAGCATTTGATGATGCTATAGCTGAGCTTGATACATTAAGTGAAGAGAGCTACAAGGATTCTACATTGATAATGCAGTTACTTCGTGACAACCTCACACTCTGGACATCAGACATGCAAGGAGAGAATGAAGGTAAGAGTCTTAAGATGTTACTCATCTCACGTAATAAATTTGTTGGGGTTGGTGGTAGTTGATATTCAGAAATTTTAGAAGCTACATGTATGGTTGTTGACAAAATGTTATTATCTTCAGGTGGTGAGCAACAGGAGCAAGCTGTCCAGGATATTGAAGGAGAGGATGCGTCCTAAGGCTGTGTTGAATTAGTGTACTAAAATTTTGAACATATAAAAATTTTGTCATTATCTTACCAAAACTGCTACCATATGTGAAGATCTTGGCCCACATTTTTCACGACCTTGAAGTCGTGCTCCCTCAGAAGTTATTTCTCTGTGACGTAGCAAGCTAACTGTCCTTGTTTTATTAAATTTTTTTTTTACTCCCAGAAAGTGAAGTTTATATGAAAGGATACATGGTCGATGCTGTGACAGTTTTGGCAGTAGTGTTTTGTTTGAAAATCTTGTCATTGGCTTTGGGAGGGTAGCACCTTCATATTATTATATGCTGGAACTATTAAATTTGTTTTTTTAAATTTGAGAAAATGAGATGGTTGTATGTTTTGTAATTAGTTAAGAGTTTTTTTGTCTTAAATATTTTTATTTTTGCTAGCTTCCTAATCAATTGCGTTCAGTTTGTCATCTTCATTTCATTTACTTTTGCATTCGTGGACAATGCATGTATACATTTACAAACTTTTCATGTATGCTTCTATTCATCCTTCATAGGATTCCCTTCTTGAAATGAATGATTTTGTGCATGGATGTCATTAATATTCTGTCTGTTGTATAAATAGTTGTAAAAATGTAAAGATTGGTGTCCTACACCAATAGAACAAGTTCACATTTCAACCTAATTTGTTGGTTACAGTGGAAGCAAAGATTCAAGGTTATGTATCCATCGCCAGTGACAAGTACTATTGCCTAATTTGTGTAGAACTCAATTGTATTACTGATCATTTTTATAAAAATAATATTTAAGAGGATAAATATTATCCCTCCTTGGTCTTTTGATGTTTCTAGTTTCTGCAATTTTTTAAATTCATTCTTACCTACCTATAACTTCTAAATGCCTATATAAAAAATGTTCAAGTCAGTATACAAAACAATACATTCATGTTTTAGTCACTATCCATGGTTACAAAGTCTTTTCAACTTTAAAGAGCAAGGAGGGTTAATCTTAACCATTGTTTTCATTTGCATACTATTATAAGTAATCACTTAGGTAATCATTATTAAATCTTCAATGCTTAGACTTGTAGTTTAAACTTTGTGTGCTGGAGAAAGATGAATTTCATTTATATTAACTTTTTAATCAAACTTTGTTTGATTATAAGTGGCTTAGGTGAAATTTAAGAGGACCAATAAGTGTCTTTCACTAGTGATTTTCCTCACAAAACCAGCCAAGCATTGCAGGTTTACTCATTCTACTAAATGTAGGTGTTCTATCAATGTTACTTTTATCTTCACACAATTATATTTAAGTTTCATTTGAAATGTGTACTGAGGTAAATACATTAATCTTAATTTATATTGACTTTATATAGTTTTAACACAAAAATAAGGAAAATAAATTATTTTTAATTTGGCTTCTAGTGATTACACCTTTAACAGTTTGCACTTGCATAAGGTTACATCTGAAAAAAAAATGTTTCAAAAAAAGATAGAAGAAATAAATTTTGCTGTGATTAAAGTTTTATACTAATAACTTTTGTGTGTTAAAAGTTATAGCATGTCATCTAATTGTTCTTAACAGCTGATTTATTTTACCCCATCATTTCAGCATAATGTTGCAATTTCCAAAATTAACATTTTGACATGGTGCAATTGAAAATAAAAATTCTGGGGGAAAATAATTGAAGTTTTAAATTTTGATTTTCCTTAGCACTAAAAAAAATGGCACTTTGGATGCCTGATAAGTGTTGTGATCACAATATTTTAAATTGTAGACATGGTGTCAGTATACCTTGTTTAGTAACTAGAAATTACATGCTCTAAAAGGTTTGTAAATTACACCAATTGTCATGCTTTTTATCTTAATTAAATCTATATTCAAGTGCAAACTTCTCACGTTGTCATGCTTTTCTGTCTTATGGCTCTTCGGCAAAAAATTACCATCTTTATTTAAAATCAGCAACCTTACATTAAACTTTGCTACAATGGATACACAACAGCCTAATTCATCTGATGATAGTGATAGGCACATTGAAAGTAAAGGTGGCTGGTTGTTGTAGTACAAGTGGTACCATCCCTTGGCCTGATGCATGCTGTGACCTTGACTGCAGCTGCCTTTTAACCTGTGATAGTGTTAGATTATAATCCGGGAATATTCCCTGTTTATAACTATCATGAATACTGGAAGAGTTTATATTTTGATTTGTCCTGATAAATAAAGTCAACTAGAATTACAGGTACTGATCTGTGAGACCGTTAGACCTGTTCATTTGTATGGTAACTAGTAATAGTATATAAAGTATAACAACCATGAAGTACAGTCAACTGCTGTACCTCTATTGTTTTAAATTGGTACATTTCAGTTATTCTTATTTATTACAACTTAAGTACTATAATAGGGACGGAGTGGACTAGTGGTAGAGAGTTGAACTTCTAGCCCGTAAGTCTGGAGTTCGAATCCGGGTCTAGGTCACTAGGCCATCCCAGAGTCTACCCAGCTCTGCTGATGGGTACCTAACTCAAGTTTCGGTAAGTAAAGTCTACTGGGCATAGTACTATCCCTTCATATGCCAAGGTCACAGAAACAAACTCCACTTGCCATTGACCATCCTGTGTGAAAGGGAACTTAACTACATTAGTAGTAACAACGTGATCATGTTGCTGTTTTTGCTTCTGCGTGCAGGTTTATTAAAAAATCCTGTACAAAATTGTTTAAGATTTAAGAAATCAATTGGAACTAAATGTGATAACACTAAAACCACTAACTTTTAATAAAGAAAGTGAGGAATTGTGAATACATCTTCAATTAAGTACATCTCAGGCTGCTGGTGTTTTAATATTGATGGAGGGTGCCTGGAAATTATACATTCTAGTTTCTAAAACTATAGTGCATTTATTTAAATTCAATATGTAGGTATGAAAAAAAAACGTGTATAAATCTTTAAGGAAACACCACCAATACTATTGTCCAACATATGATGATAAAATATTATTGGTCCAGACTCAGTTGAGGGTTGATGTGATAGTTATGGCTCAACTACTATGTTTGGGAGATCATGGCCTGGAAGCACTAAATTGATTTTTCATTTAAATAACTATTCTCAAGTAAATTTCTGATGGAATCTTTGCTAACCAACTACATAGCAGATTTCCAAAAACAATCTGTCATTCATCCCATCAGCTTGCTTTTGAACAGACAATCGGTAGCAATAAAAAAAAAAAAAACCAAAAGAGTGTTCAACAATTTATTTCCGAACTCTTCCTCTCCCCTTTTTCACTCCCTTTGACCCCTTTTTATTACCCTTGGATTCTTTCCTCATTTTGCCCTTCAAATCCTTTTTCATTCTTCCATCTACAACTTTAAATATTCCTTTGACACCAGCAGGCCTCCTCACTTTTTTCCCAGCACCTTGTTTAGCTACAACATATGTAACTGAAGGCTTTGATTTTTTTAATAGTCCTGCTTTCTTATACACTCTGAAATGTGCAAAACAATATAATCAGATCAACATTTGAAGCACTTTTATCAAAATGAGTTAATTGCAAATGTGACTTACTGTTTTATTTGCTGCCATTTTTCCTTTTCTGAAGAGTCGATGTTTTCAGAAATGGAGTTTGCTTTTTTCCTCACATTTTCCAAACGTTTGAGTAACTAAAAGAAGAAATTTTGGGATAAGTATAAAGAATTTGATTTCACTTTCACTGAGTATATTTTTAGAAAAATGCATTAACTTTAATGAGCTAAGACAAAATATACTAGACAACAAATTGCTGCCTAATGACAAGAGGTATTTAAAATCTACAGATGATTGTAACAAATATATTATTTATCAGCGTAAAGAATAACTTGAATGTCATCGTATGCAGGTAAGAATCAGATTTTAAGCAACAGCAGACAGATACTTGTGACAAACAAAACTTTTTACTGCATTAAAAGTGCATAGCTTCAAACACGTCGCCTGCACAACAAAAACAGTTATTTCATTAAATTAAAAACACACCTTTCGCTTTTTCCTTGCTTTAGCTTCAGCAATTTTCTTGATTGGTTGAGCATTAATTGCTTTCATTTTTAATTTATATTCTTCCATCTCTTCCTGCAAGTTTAAAAGCAATACATTTTTTTAGTAGACATTGGATGTAGTACTTTATCATTTGTTAAAGCTAGTCAGCTGGTAACATTTCTTACCTTTGTAACTGGTCTTAGCCTCTTAAGGTGTTTCTTCTCATCTGTTACAAACCAATCAGGTAAATTATCATCGTCAAACATATACCTAAAAAAGCAGAAATGTAACACATAGTAAACAAATAGAAAAGGGGTAAAATTACATTTGATAATTAAGAGTATCAATGTTAACATAATTAATCCTGTTTTTCCTAACATGAAGAGTGATATATATTTTTTCTTAATAGTAACATTGTTAAAATACAGAATTAAATAAAATACAGCTGCAAACAGTATCCAGTTTCCTTCATCAGTATAGGATACTCAAAACAAAGCAATCACTCAGTAATCTGAGACCTCTTAATTAACTCATAAAAAATGCTCTGACAAGATCAATATGCTTTAACAAAAGAATTAAGTGTTAATTTCTAGCACAATACCAAAAAAAAACTTCTAAAACTAAAACCCTATTTCTTGAGTGCAGTTTAAAATAAAATGGGTTATATAAATAACTACCTAGTCAGATTTTAAAATGAAAACAAATAGCTGAACAGGTCATCAGGAAAATAAAACAAGAAAAACATGGAAATATAACTTGCAGAGTAACACCAGGGACAGATCAGGGTTCATATACTATTTTGAAAATGAAATTCCAGACTTTTTTGGAAAAATTCCAGACTTAATACAGATAATGTGTTAGCCACTAATTAATAAAATGATGCAACATGTGTACCCTCATTATAAGTACAGTATAATGACATCTATTTTAGGTACAAAAATTGATTAACATGACGAAACTATTGTTTCTAACAATAAACTTGTTATTTGTTCATGATATAATTGCATTGTTTTCAATTAAAGTATTACTAAAATAGCAGTCTTATCATTTAGGCTTAATAGTGAGAGTCAATTACTGGAAAAGAATAATAAAGTAATTTACTACTTTAAGTCTGCTGTTCTTGAGTAGCCTAGACTTATTTACCCTAGGTCCTAGATCTAGTAAATAAAATAGTGTTTTGGAAATAATAGGCTGCCCGAAAAGAAAAATTTAGATGAATAAAAAGCACTCTAGAATGAACTACCCCCCCCCCCTAAATAGTAACAACTTCATAATTGGGGTCACAGTGAGTTCACAGAAATTTAGATACCAGTGACCTTTGCTACCAGGAGGGGTAGGTTAGTCTAGCCGTAAATGTCAGCATTTGCAAATATAAAAAAAAACAGTTAAACAGAAAGTGAATTAAAAATACAGGTAGATAAATTATACTAAATAAATCTATACATAGACTACCACTCACAGCCTCCCTCATAAACGACACAACAAATTGTAGACCGGCGCATAGTGCAGGGAAAAAAATTCACATAAATATAGCCTTTTTGTTTGTCGGAAAATATGGACTTCATGGAAAAGTTTCATTTCTAAAACTAAATTCCAGACTAAAAAAAAATCAAGCCCAAAAACTAGCAATTTTTTAAAGTCTGAAATTTACTTTTCTAAATTCAAGACTTTTTTCCAGACTGCGTTCAAACCCTGAGAATTAGCAAATGACAGGAGTTGCCTGAAAGACTAGTCTTCCTAGTGGAGAAAAACCTATTGGCATAAAAATAATGCTTGGAGGTGATAAATCAATAATTACCTATGATAAGCTGAATCAACTATTTCTCTCTTTCGTTTACGAGACTGCACCATGGCAGCACCAATAGCAAGTCCCTCTGCATCCAGCTGCAAATCTGAATTTATTGTTGAGGCAGGCACAACTTCTAAGCCATTCACTCTTGCTGTTTTTTTATTCTGTTTCATCCTTTTACTTTTATTGTCACTATCATCTTCATCACTACTTTCATCCGAGTTGTCTGTACTGGAATCAAAACGATCATCACGGAGATCATTTGTAAGCAACTGTTTTTTAGATTTTGTGTCTGCCGCTTTCTGCTTTTTCTTAACCTCTGGTGGAGCAATTAGTTGCTCAAGCTCTAAATCCTCATCCATATCATCTTCTAACCCTGCAAATGATTCCTGTCAAAAAATTATATTTGAAATGGCTGTTAAAAAGATGTTATTACTAGCCTTTATTTTTACTTGTATGAAAATGTTCTGTATCAAACAAAAGCAATATGATAAACAAAGCTAACTGTTGATTTGTAAAAGTTAATAGTAAGGAACTGTTCTTTAAAGTGCAAGTTTAACACAAATAAAACAAGAAATCAAAACTAAATGATTAAATTACCAATTCCTTTACAAACAGAATAATAAACACGCAAATTTAGGTGATGCTACAAAATAAGTGACAAATGAGTGTACCTTATTAAACCATGCTCGCTGTTTATCAGTTTTAATTCTTTTGGTTTCCCCCATGTCAATAATTAAAGGGTTGGTATTTTCATTTCTTTCTTCGGCTTCCTCCTCTTCTTCTTCCTCACTGGAAATAAGAAAATTTACCGAATAAAGACTTGTAACTTTAATGTTATGTGTGATTAAGTTTTTCAAAAGTTTAAGGCAAAACTTACTTTTCTTCTTCTTCAAACTCTGGTTCCTCATCCATTTCCTCATCCTCATCACTCTCTTCTTCAATACCATTATACTTTTTATCACCCTTATCAAAGTATTCTAGTCTTTTTTTCTTATTCCTACTTTCATCATCAGATTCTTCAAAAATATCATCCTTATCAAGATGTGTAAGATCACCCTTTTCTACCTCTTTTAATTGCTGTAAAATAAATGTTATCTATAAGTTAGGTTTTCAAACTTGAGAAACTACCTTTTAAATTAATGTACAGTATAACTGTTGGGATTATCTAAAATAATAAACCGGTAGTGATCTCCCCTAAACTTTCTCGAATATTCTTATATAAAACAACAGGGGATGGTAACTGGGGATATAGTTATGATCTTTAATCCATTTTAAATACTGAAACTTTTAAAAATAGAATAGAATCTCAGTAAAAAACAATTGCGCACCAAGCGAACGCCTAATAAAGGTGTGTATAATAGTGCGCAATAGTATTAGTACTTTATAAATTTACATTAGTTTTTTGAGAAATCGGAAGTAGCGTAAAGTACTACTTCCGGTCAACGGAAATTACTCAAAATTTAACAGAAGGTAGAGAATTAGATCTTTTACTTACATGTGAAATTTCATTTATCTATCTGAAATAGTACTCAAGTTATAGGCTTTTGAAAAATTCAAAGTAGAAAAAGTACCACTTCCGGTTATCCGAAATCGCTCAAAAGTTGATACGGATCTACGATTTTGATATAATACTTGTATATGAAATTTCATCAACCTAGCTGTAACGGTACTCAAGTTATCGTGTTTACACACGGACACACACACACACAGACACACACGGACACACAGACATACGGACAAGATTGCAAAATTATGTTTTTCCGTATCAGTGAGATGTAAAACGTCGAGATTTGCAAAAATCTCGATTTTTTTTTTTGCACGATTACAAGACTTTCTCTATACTTCGTATATACGAGAAAGTAAAAAAGCAGGATAAGTCCTCTAAATAGTTATTATACTAAAAACAAAGTTTAATTACAAACAGAGAGATAACACATTACTAAAGGTTTTGGTAAGATATGGGAAATAATATTTTTTTACATTAATTTATTAACATTAATAATCATCAAACTACTAATTACAACTTGTATAAAAAATCCTACCTTGATATTTCTTATTTTAGTAATGTCAAAAATATTGATATCGTCTTGAATCACAGGCTGATCACCAGGGATCATCATCTTAAGGTCGAGTTTCGTTTTGTGTTTTTGCTGAATTTTTCGCACTTTCTTCTTTGCTCTACAAAAATTAATTGTTTTTTCATTTCAACATAATAGTTTAAAAATAATAATAACATAAACATATTAAAGGGAGGTTCCCTAATTATAACAATTTCAACACTAAATACAAAACATTATTTTTACTTTTTCATCAATGCCAGTTCTTCTTTGTTTTTCTGCTCCAGCATATTTTCAAGCTCTTCAATCTCTGCCTCATCTTGTTTATTTTCATCAACTTCTTCAACGACTTCTTCTACAACCTCTGCAGTACTGTAATATATAATTTTGAATATTTACCATTTAACAAAACAAAATGATCTGTTGCAAAAAAAAAAAAATCTTTTAATTCAACAGTATTAATAGATCTGTTTAACAAAAATATAAACAGAGACTACTAGCACAGAGATGAAGATCTTACCTCACATCAGCAGACTTTTTCTGTTTTTCCAGTTCTTTTAACAATTTTTTTCTCCACACAAAAATTGACCTAAACAAACAGATCATGTTCTAATATAAACCACAGGTTTAGAAGACGCATTTCATAAAAAGCTGATCTAACAATTAATCTGACAATTAAGAATAATGTGTAATAAGAATACTGCAGTATAATAGTGTGTGATGTGTGGATACAGCTGCTTTACACTGATGCCTCTTGAGGTTGAGCCTAATAGCATTTCTATCAATTTAAATAAAAAGTATGCTTCACTTTTGAGAAGCCAACTGGCAAAAACATTGCAGGTGGGTGCAATCAAACTGACCCATGCTGTATCTAAAATGTCTATTTTCTGCTATTTCTTCACTATAAGATACAATTAAAGCCCCCAGGCAATGTTTCTTTCACTCATTTGATAAATAACTACAGATCAAATATTATAGAAATATTAAACCTCACTTAATGTCTTTTTTCCCCAGCAATTTAATATCTTTGATACATTCTTTTATCTCTGGGGTTGTCAAAGGATGATTTCTTATTTCTTCAGAGTCCAAGGCAATCTAAACAGAATGTAATGTTTACCATAATTAAAACTCAATGCACATAACTAATATACCTTTAAGAAAAAACTAATTATTTATAGTGTAGATGTAAAAATCTGACTATAAAATTAAAGCCCTTTCATGGCTGAATTCTTATGAGCAAGATGTAATTAAAGAACAGTTAGTAGCCTACCTCTGATGACTGAGCTAATAATTCCATGAAGTTATCACTAGCAAAAAACTCTGTCACAGGAAGTGAATAAAACAATGTGTAGTCACCCTCTGGGTAGCCCTCTCTTTGTCTGAATAGATAAAGATTTAAACTACATTCAGAAAATCTGAAAAACTATCACAAATAGCCTTATTTGGTAGGAAATAGAACTAAAGTTCAATCATCTTTTAAAAGCAGATTTGCTGTTACTTTTTGTCATTTTTATTTTTTTCATTTTATTCCTCATCTTGTGTCTCATCATCAAAGTCAATTAACAAAATAAGAAACAGAATGACAATTTTGTCGTCACAATTATATCTGTTTTACAATGTGTGAAATGATGCAATAGCGTATTATTGTATATTTTAACCACTAGTTTTATAAACTTTTATTTTGTGTTGCATTTGGTAACTGGTAACTCTAAAAAGATTTTCGTAGTTAACAAATAAATGAAATTCTGAACCCATCTACATTCAGCACGTTTTGTGGTAAATATTCTGGCCACACTAGATCTATATGACATTTCAAGGAACCCCTCTGCCAAAACCATTACAGCAACAACTGCTATAATTTAATATTTATTTGTGTAGTTACTGGATGAATGAGGGCAGCCCAACAAAGAGCTAACCCTGAATATTAGTTGTAACAGTTAAAAAACAAAACAGTCAGACCTTTTTTTCTTTTCTGGGTGTATCAAATCAATAGTTGGTCTTGGTGTTTTGTCGACTTCCTGGAAAACATATTTCGGGTCAAGAAACTTGGGATCGATTTTATCTGGGGCAATGTATCCTTGGCACACGACAAAAATTTCAGCTGATTCATTTCTGGATGCTTGTGGTTTAGTGGCATGTACTTGCTTAAACAACTGCTGAAATACCCACATAATAGCATCATAGTCTTTAGAGCGGAACAGCTTGGTAATAAACCATCCACCTTTACGAAGAAACTCTGTGGTCAGGCTTAGTGCATGAAGAGTTAACTCAACTGAAAATATATTAAAAGATAAATTTACTTCAGCTTTCTATTTTTTGTAATCTAGAAACATAAATGTATGTGTAAAAATTTCACCAACCTTGTTGATATGCATCATGTATCCAGTTTTTACCAAGATTGGGGGCACCATCATTAAGAAAACAATCAGCCTTTGCTGTTTTCAGTTCTCTTTTCAACACCTAGCATGAGATAAAGTTTAAGTTATCAATGATAACAGAACAGTTATAGCATAAATTCCAAAATATAATACATTAAAGTTAATTTTTTTTTTAAAGATTTTTAACATTGTATACATTATGATTTAGAGATATGTAACATTTTCTGCAATTGCATCAACAAAAGGCAGGTTTTTTTTAATGCAAACTTATAGTTATATTTGGTAGTTAAAAATGTGTTTATAATTATCTACCTAACAATACTAACATTAAATCTTAAGATTAACTTTCAACACTTGATAATTAAACAACTTTTATTGTATCCTACCTGTCTACATTTTTCTGTTGTAATATCTTCTTGATAAGTTTTAACATTTCTAATCGGTGCAATTGGGACAAGATCAATTCCTGTAAAATATGACATAAAATATTTCTTAAAAAACACCTGGAGTTTTAACAAAAGAAAGTACAACCATTCAATTTTAGACCAAAAGCTTGGGGACAGAGTGGTTGGGTAAGTCAGCACATGACTGTCAACCCCAAAACTCTTAAGTTCAGACCCCCTGACGGGTCGGCGTGGTATAGTCAGTAAAAGCTCACGGTTGCTAAACCGAAAAGTCTTGAGTTGGAACCCTCAGACAGATGAGGCTCGTTAGCTGGGGACAGACACTTTTCTAGGAGAGACAACTCCAAAATCAAACAACTGCTGCCTTGTAGTTTGTTCTTGGTTGGACAAAGGCTATGGTGGAAGCAAATCCAAAAAGAAAAGCAGGCTGAAATCGGAGTCAAATGCCTCAATGGCGCAAAACCAGTTGACACATTTACATAATTGTGTTGGAGGGAATACCTTCCAACACTAAAATTAAGAACGAAGAAGAAGAAAGAAGACCCTCTGACAGATGAGGCTTATTAGCTGGGGACAGCAGCCCACCTAGGAGAGAAAACTCCAAAATCAAACTACAATCTTACTGCAGTCTTCCAGATTGTTCTTGTGTGGACAAAGGATAAAAAACAAGTTTAGAAAGAAAAGATGGATGAAGTTGGAGTTAACAGGCCATATTATACATACATTAAGAGTGAGGAGACAGTAAATATAACAGGTTTAATTAACTGTATTCAAATTAATTATTTACAAATGAAAACCTTACCAATTATGATATTAGACATGGGAGCATTTTCTGAAGCCACCTGAAGCCAGCCTCCAGGGGCTGCACAGAGGTCAACAATAATGTTGGATTTCTGCAAGAATTCATACTTGCGATTAAGCTGGATAAGTTTAAAAGCTGCACGTGATCTGTAGCCTGTGAATACAGTTGCATTGTTGTTATTTCTGCTCATGTATTAAAAAAAAAAAGCATTAAACATACAACTATAAAACACAGCAGAAGTTCAATGTAACTGGAGAAACATTCTCTATGGAATTCTTGGTAGAGTTTCTATCGCAATAAAAACAATGAGCCCTCATTACCTCTTTGGCATCATGTGGGTAAGCAGGAAAGTGAAGTAAACTGAATTAGTTAACATGGCTTAAATACCCACACCTTTTGTAATCTGGGTATTCCAACCATTTGGAATACTATAAATCATATACTAAGTAAATTTTACAGCCTCCCCACAACCTATACTACTGTTTCAGTGTTACTGATTATATTGTTTTGCATGACATGACCACTTCATTAGTTGGTAGTGCAATTCTATTCAAAATGATGAATTTTCCAAAGTTGCAGCTTCAGTAACATTAACATCATTATTTATCATATGGTCCATGATTATGACAACAAGCAATACTTCAGTTTTAAAAAAGGGTCTTTGAGAGGGTGGGTGCAACTGCTGAATTTTAATTAAGAAAAACTCATTGAGACAACATTATAGAGACTGCTACAGACTGCCAGCAGATAACAAGGGACAACCAGGGTTAGGCACTGACTTGAGTTTTTTTTTAGGTAATATTATTAGAATTTATTACAAGGTCTATATCTAAATCTAAGCTAATAGAAATAAATTCTAAATTCGGTATACATTTTGAGCCACCCCAAGAGGATTCCATAGAGTCACGTGATGCATTTTTGTAGCTAAAAAGGGCAGAAAAAAAAATCACTTTTTCTGTGACATCATTCCAATAGTTCATAATAATTATAATACGAGCTTGACGAAACTCGCACCAACCCATTGTACGACGATAGACCTAAATGTTTGTAAGTTGTTAGGCTAACAACTAACAAACATCAGTTGTGAAATTAGACATCATGAAAATACCACTCCTTGACCTTGATTTTCATTTGAGCCTAGTTCTTGTTTTGAAATAAAAGTCGTCGTCGCCTCCAACGCAAGTGCCAATGAGTATATACCCTACCCACCCGCCCCCTCACAGCATACCACATTTCTTTACAATCAGGGTTAAAAGTTTAACTTGGAGTTCAAGAAGGGGAGAGGGTGTTATTGAAACAACTACGCTGCTTCTTTGATAGTACAAATATATAACTAAAAAAGTTTATATTTAACTCAATGCAACAAGCCCTGCAAGTTGGTTGAGGCCAGCCCTGGGGGACATTCTGATCGGGATTCAAAATATCGTCCCTAAATTCTTCGGCATGGTAGATCTAGAGTATAGACATTCTAGACTAGAGATGTAGGGCCTAAGTCTAGAAATAAAAATTGACTGGCTTGAACTCATAATCAATTTTTATAAACTTACAGCCTAATAACTATATTTTATTAATTAGGCCTATTAAATGTGTATGGACACATTTTTCATAACAGAATTCGGTAACCTATCGTTTTAGGTGTGTAAATTCGGCCAAGGCTAGTAAAATGAAAAAAGCTGCCTCATTGTTAAGGCTTTAATATAAGTAGCCTAAATTATAAGTTTATTATGATATATTTGTGTCAAATAATAAAAAACTGAATAATAAACCAAAATCAATGGCTAAATATATCAATAGGCTTATAGGCCAGAAATTAACAGCAGTTTGCTAGCAAGATTTGCTATAAAGACAGCAGCCATCTGTAAATTAGAGTGGTTTCCCTTGAATCTCTAACTAATTTAATTTTACCAAAAAACTTAAACAAGATGGCTACTAAGTCAGATAAAGTAAACGAGCCGGCCCGCGGCATAACATACGCCGATATTTAGTTGTTGTTTTTTCTACTTTTCAGTAATTCATAAATTGTGAATTCGACAGTACCAATGCTGACACTGAAAATATTTCTTTAAAACACTATAAGTAGCTCGTTAAGGACCATACCCCCCCCCCCCAACCTTTAAAATTGTTTCAAACTAAATTATCTGCCCCTAATAGCCATCACTAAACCCGACTCCACGAAGGTAAATACAGCTCACTAAGAACATGTAGGGGTGGGGATGGTAGGGAGCGCGTTTACAGCTTGTTTTCTAGCGTCTCCCAGAAGAGAATTATATATATAGATGAGCTTGATTGCATCTGATGAAAACATCGCTAGTCTATATTTATTAGGCTACTGAAACATTTCAATAGAATTGTTTAAAAACAGGTACATGAATTTTAAAACATTTCAAAACAGATTCTAATCCTCCTACACTACATATGTGAAATAATTGTTAAAATTTAATGAGTCACCCTTTTCACATGTGACATTACTAGATCTAGCCTCAACCAATTTTATTTTGGCGATTCTAGCAATGGAGAGAAACTACGACTTGCCATCGCTGTGATGTTTTCGATGGTACTGCGCATATGTGTGTTTACAACAGCAGAACCCTAGCCCTATCCCTAACTGCGCCTAGCCCTAGCTCAGATATTAAGGTCGCTGCGTATGCGCAGAACTATCTTTTGCCGACCAGGTGGGGACGCTGGGGCGAAAAATCTTTTTCCGAGTAGTCACTTCATTTTATTTTATGTACCTTAAACGGTAGACTACCCGAAATTTTTTCAAAATTGGTAATTTCATAAAAATGCCTATCTAAATCTAGATCTGAAGAAGTAGAATTAAGGAAAATCTCTCTTCTCGGATTCTCTCGACATTTGAGTTCATTTGAAAATGACCATTTGTCTCATTCACTCGCGACTAAAAATAAAACAAAAAAATAAACTAAAAATCTGGATAATATTCTACATTATTATTACCTGTTTCTTTAGCAAGATGATAAAACTTATCTTTTCTTGCTTTTCCTACTTTTGCTTTCTTCCCCATTTTTGTTAGATCTAGAATGTATTAGTTACAAATAAGCTAGTTACTAGTTACAAATAATACTCAAAATAGTCTCCACATGTCAACAAATTTTAGGAAGACCGGAAGTAAAGTTCTAAAACATGGTCTAGAATCACTTTCTAGATTTAAATAAAGCGGGGGTGATCTCCCCTAGAATGTATCGTACAGTAAGGAGAGTAAAGGGGCGGCACTTAAAGTGCAATCGGACCATACACGTGTCACCATAGATATGGAAATGTTTTGATTAATTTTAAATAAAAAAAAATTATAATAAAATTGAGTGGAAAAATAATTACGCACTAAAAGAACGTAAACAATATGTGCATAATGGAGAGAAAAATTAGATCTAGTAGCCTACTTTATAAAGGAAACCTTGATTAATTTTTAAAAGTTAATTAAACATCTAATTATTTTAAGTCACATTTTAAGTCACAGTGCATTCAGCGTTGTCATCGAGTCTTGATCTACATGAAAAGTTTGGAAATAAATCGGTCCGGTAGAAGTGATCCGATATTTTTTAGAGAAATCGAAAATACCGTAAAGAACTACTTCTGGTCAGTGGCGTAGGCAGGGGGGGGGGGGGGGGTTAGGGGGTGTCATAACCCCCCATAGACCCCTCGGTATAGATATATAAAGTATGAGGGGGGGGGGGTGTAAATCGAAAGTTTGAGGGGGGGGGTGCAAATCGAAAGTTTGAGGGTGGGGGTGCAAATCGAAAGTTTGAGGGGGGGGGGGTGCAAATCGAAAGTTTGTCCCCGGGTAAAAATTGGAACCCCCCTTGAGACGATCCTGGCTACGCCACTGCTTCTGGTCATCGGAAATCACTCAAAATTTGAAAGAATCTAGAGTATAAAATTTTATATTTAAGTGTTTTTGGTTGGTAATGGGGAAAAAATTCTTGACATTTTTAAATATCTATATTTGGACTTTTAAAACCTACTAATTTTTCTCTCCACAGGCTACATTCGAATTTTTATTATTTAGGCCTAAGGGGTCGTCCATAAATGACGTCACACTCGTAGGGGGGAGGGGGGTCCGCAATTTTGTGACGGTGTGTGATGAGGGGGAGGGGCGGTTCAGACGGTGCGACGTCACACTTTTGCATTATAAAAAAGCTATGTTAGAAAACAAATTTTAGACGTTATTTTACGTTTTAGAAAACTGTTTTAATAAATTGTAATAACAATTGATTAAAATACTCTATTTTGACAGATTTCAGACAAGATTTTTGAAAAATATAGCTGTTTAAAAAAATTCAACTGCAATTTTGAGGGGGGGTTGTAGGCTGAGGTGTGACGTCATTTAAGGGGGGGGGGGTCTGGCTTTTTGTGACGACGTGTGACAGAGGGGAGGGGGGAGGTAAAAATCGTCAAAAAAGCGTGACGTCATTTATGGATGACCCCCTAATAATAAAGAGTATCGAAAATATTAAAGCCGTGTATCAGTAAATAGGTACACAATACATATGTTACTGAAACAGTAAATTGTTAGTAAGTTTTGAGAGGTCTACAGTGGGGGGGGGGGGGGGGGAGTCGTCGAAAGTGGACGCTTGAGGTCGGAGAAGTGGGGGGGGGAGGGGGCTTCTAAAATCCGAAAACTTTGTGGACGTCATTAAAAGTTGATAGAAAACTACAAATTTGATATATTATTTATACTCATGAAATTAAGTTAACCTAACTGAAACGGTACTCAGGCAAGTTAGCATATTTACTTCTGTTTACAGACACACACAGAGGGAAAGGATGGCAAAACTAATTTTTTTCCGGCTCTTGAAATTTTATAAAACGTCAAATTTGTCTAAATCACGATTAAGATTTTTTGACTGATTACAATACATCCTTTGTATTCCGTATACAATAAAGTGGGAAAGTGTAAAACGGGGAAAAAAACTGTCTAAATCTCATTAAATTTTTGTTCATGATAAAAATACTTTCTTATGAGAAAGTAAAAATACAAATCCCACCTTAAACAGTTCATGATGTAAAAAAACAACCAATTTCGACTATATTATATGTTAAAACTATTTTTATGTAAACATAGAAAACGAGAAAAATGGCCCGTTGAGGAAGGATACAACGGGGGGCGCTAGGTTGATAGAGCTGTCTATTTTCTCGGTTAAGATTGATTCATACAACAATTAATGCAGTTGGTTATTTTTATTACATTTATGACAACAGCAATTCACCAAAATATAAATTTTAAAATCACAAAATGCAGGTCCTTAAACTTTAAGGCTTAAAGGATCATTCATAAACGAGCAATTATGATCTTAGATATAAAATATGTCGTTCAAATATTACAATAGTGTTAGATCTAGTTCTTATACATTTAAAAATCAACGAGGTATTGGCGGACATCAAACTGGATTAAGTCAACTAATTGAGCAAATTATTATAAAAAACATCTTGTTATAGGTGTTAAAGCTAGATCTACTAACTAATAGATCTAGATCAAACTGCTAGTTTGATTTTATTTCAATATCTGTTTTCAAAAACACTTTTCAAGGTTTCGGTAAATGGAAATTTCTTTTTGAGCTATTCCATGCTCCAAAGAAAAAACTGTGAGCGCTGTACAACAGACGGTGTGTAAATTATGTATATTTTGGAAGATGTATTGAATAAATTCAATCGATTTTTAATTTATCTGTTAATTCCGTATATATAATAAGTGTTTTACATTGTCAAAATACTTACACTAATACACAACGTAGCTTAAAAACGTATTTGGCACCCACTATCCTATTACCGATAGCGGTTAACACTTGTCTTCAAGCGCAAGGCTAGCAGATGTTGACAACTAGTTGACCGTTTTAGATATTTAGAAACATGCTATGTGTTGATCTTATGCAATGAAATAATTATGTATTTAGTATCATAATCATTTTAATACTATAATTCTTTATCCATTAGAATAGAAGACAATTTTTACACCGGTGTCAGATGATCTTAAAAAGGGGTGATAGGTTACTGGTAGTTAACTAAATAAAAAATAGTAAAAATACACACATGGCTGGCTAATGTCAATGCTAACCTTGTCCCTAACCCCAACCCTGGTCCTACCATACGTCTAACCCTAATTTCTAACCATAAAATTAGTCAAAATTACAATACTACTAACAACCCCACACCCCTTTTTTAAAGAAGATTCATTATTGGACACGGGTATCTAAAATCATCCTAAGTGAGCAGAATCTAGATCTAGTGATAAAATTATTAAAGTTAATAAAGTGATAGCCCCCCCCCCACCCCTTAATAAATTTAATATCGAAGTGACTACTCTGAAGATTTTTCTCCCCAACGTCTCCACTTAGTCGGCAAAAGATAGCTCTGCGCATGCACAGTGACCTATGGCTAGGGTTAGGGCTAGAATGAGGGTTAGGGATAGGGTTAGGCATAGGATTAGGGTTGGTGTTAGGGTTCTGCGGTTGTAAACACACGCATGCGCAGTACCATCAAAAACATCGCCGCGAAGGCAAGTCGTAGTTTCTCTCCATTGCGCATGCGTATCTTATTCCGGCTAGCATCGGCCATTTAATATTAATAAAATTTCGGATGATATTTAGAATCGACCCTTTGAATCCCGGACAGATCGTCCCCCCGGCGTGGCCTCAGCCAACCGGCGGGCTCGTTGCATTGAGTTAAATATAAACTCAAAACAATAATATAAACAATCTCCTTTCGGTCGGTCAGGCCACATACCACGCACGCATAGTGTTGTGTGTCGTGCCTTAACCAAAATAAACTATCTCCCTTCATTATCATTAGATTTAATTAATTAGTTAATTAATTTGCTAATTTATAAAATTATGTATGATGCTATAGAAGTAGGTAAGTATAATTTTTTACTATGTATTTGTACTATTAAACATATTAAAGAACATCGTTGTTTCAATACCACCCTCTCCCCTTCTTGAAATCAAAGTTAAACTTTTAACCCCGTTTGTAAAGACTAGCGGTATGCTGTAAGGCGGCTGTTGGGTAGGGTATATACTCGGTAAAAAAAAATCCACCGTGGTGCGTGTTGTTGGCCTTGGGCCTTGGGTGACCGTTGTTGGCGCTTGCTGTGAGGGAGAGATGGGGAGGGTGTTATACTCGTTGAAAAAAAATGCACCGTGGTATTGGTCTATGATGACGTCGGCGTAATTGTGAAAGGGGGGGGGGGGGAGGCGTTTTTTTTTTTTTTTTTAAACCAAGAACTAGGCGTTTCGGGGCAGTAATGAAAATAATCAAGGACTGGTATAGCCATGATGTCGAATTTAACGAGTGATGCTTGCTGGGTCTATCATAAGATTGCTTGGCGATGGGAATCTCGTCAAGCTCAGTTTACATTATTAACAGTGAACTATTGGGATGCTGTCATGCACAAAGTAACAGTACCGAATGTAGCACTTAAAACATCGATTGCATCCCGCTCATTATAAATCTTTGAAATACAAGTTATGGATAGTCCAATAACTACTAATACTTGAAGGACTGCCAGAATATATGCATTGTATTATAAAATTAATCCTTTCGATATAACAAAAATGTGCATCCAAATATGTTTAGGCTAATGGGATCTGCATTTCAATAAACAAAGTCAAATACCTACCCCATTCAGTAGAAATATTAGGCTACTTTTGCATGGTAGCACAACATTTTTTTAGATTTCGTAATGAGTAGCCTAGTCGTGCATTAAACTAGAATAAAGGGTTGTACTCAATAGCAATGACAATAATGAAATGCCGGCTTCAAATGCCGGCTTCCCCGTATTCTTCGACTAGAAATATAGCTCCGTCGTTTAAATGACCCCCACCCCTCCACCTTTTGCCTAGTTGAATATAAAGTTACACTTTCAACCCCGTTAGGATGCGTGAACTACTGGTGACGTAACTATTGAAAAAAAAATCTATTCTGGTGTTAAATTCCCCTCCCCTACTCCCAGCATTTAACTTTGGGGCCATACACATCAGGAAGGTCTAGGTCGGTGTTTTATCTCGTGCAAGTTTACTCACAACACGACTACACACTACGGTTGTATCCAGGATTAAAGCTGCGACACTTACTTAGAGTGGGATTTATTCGTTAGATCATTGTGCTTCAAATTCTGTTTCATTTTAGGATTATAGTGATAGAATGTTGGAATTCAGTTAGTTTGTTAATTAATATATTGATTATATTGATCTAAATCTCGTGTACCATCAGAAACTAAATTTGTTGGCACGGCACATGTGTAGGCTAATGAATGACCTCTAGATCTAGATCGAGCCCAAGATCGCTGGTTGACATACTGTGGTTTTCAAATTTCATGGTGATGCTTTTCTAACGGATTTTATTTTGTGCTTTCTTTGGGATTATTTTGTGTGATGTGAATATTCAAAAGTAATTTGTAAGTAGTATGCTTTTCACATTCAACAAATTTAACAGTTTGCGGTCGATCTGCGGCCGGGCTGATTAATTTACATTTAGCGAAACTACACACTACATGGCGCCCTAAGGCCGTTGTTTCAGCATGCCCTACTAGTCAATTATAGACAACTTTAGAATCAACACATGTAGCCAATGCATCGATTTTTATTTAATAATCTTCAAAAGACATTCCTCTAGGGTCGTTATTTTCACGAAATTGTCGCTTTCCAATTTGTTGTCAAGAAACTGGTATTTAGTTCACGAGAACGTACGAAAACCACTCATGCGTGACCGAAATCGTCGATCAGGTGCCTTCACGTGGTTTGACACGTGCTGACATGGGCCTTTGTTTACATCGAAACATAGCTCAAAACGGCCCTTTTTTTAATAAATTCTTCGAAAAAATGGCTATGTCCATTTCTAAAAAGTGTCATTTTCGGGCCCATTTTAAAAAACGTAAAAAAATCCGAACTACACGTAGAAAAAATGGCTTTTTCGGCCCTTTTTAGCTCCAAAAACGCCGTGTTTACGGGTCGCGTGACGTCATCGTGACGTCAGCCGCCAACCAAAACGCGTTGAAAGCGCGCGTTTGATTGGTTGGCGGCGGATACTATGAAATATCAAGGGTTTTCTCTAAATTTTTACCAAAATTTCAATAGTTTGAGAGGCCTAACTGACTACCAGATTGACTTACTATCTGCTAACACGCATAGCAAAAAAAAAATAATCACAGTTCGCCACTAAGCCAGCTAAGTTACACAGCGCAACATTGATCCTTGCCTTAAAAAAATTAAGACAATCTGTGTTATCTTCCCCCCTCTTTCCATTTTCACCGACTACTACTTTCTTGACCTTATTTTGACCCTTTTCATCTTCAACAACCAGCCCCTTTTGTTTGCAATGCAGTCTTTTGTCTAAGTGTTCAGTTCTATTACCAACTACACCAGTGACCACTTGACCTCTTATCTGTGTCTCCTATAGTGGGCTAATATTTTACTTTATGTATTCAGTGTGTTTTTACTTTATAAATTTAGATCACTATATAGATTTTAGATCCAATTTATGTTTAAACTCAAAATTCCTATTTAAAAATAATTTTTTGTGTTCTGCCATTTGCTCCAATGTAAGAATTCTAAAAGGCCAAATAAATGAGCGAACACTCTTTTTTTACAAGTAGAAAAAAAAACTATTATCCATAACATTTTCAATGTTCCATAATATATAGAAGCTATTTATAGTGTAACCTTCTGGCTAATCGTTGATTGGTTCAAGTTTTGCCACTAATCCAACCCTAGGTCACTTCTTCCGGGGTGGTGTAAATATAGAATTGTGCGTATGATGCAACATTTTAAAAATTCTAAAAATAATTCCTGAAAGAGAAAGCGAAAGTACTTGACATGGAAGTGTTCATAAATGAACAGTTTATGTGCAGGCGCAGTGGTTTCGCATAATTAAATTTTCTATAAGCTGAAAATCGATAAAGTGTTTGCTGCAATATGTGTTCACTTGGATGTAAGTTACTCTAGTAACTAGATCTGGTAACTAATCTATCATCAGCATTTAGATGAAAATTTCTAAATTATTTATTTTTATAAAAAGTACCAATGACCGGTAACACACTAGTATACTCTTTCTGTGCAAAGTCATTATTACTGCAATAAATTCTAAAGTCAGGTCAGCCTGTAGCACCCTCCACTGAAGGAAAAATATTTTGCCAAATATTTTATTTATGATATACTTCACTTGATGTAGGACTCCTACTGGCTGCTAAGATTTTGTGGTGAATACATAAACTCCTAAGTTTATGTTATGGCGGTTAATGCTATTCAAAGTTGTCTTCTGTTAAATAAAATTTATAATTTTAATATCACAGATAAAAATGTCACGTTTTTTCCGAGCTGGTTCCGACAGTGAAAGTGAATCTGAATCAAGTGATGATGGAATTCAAGAATCTCGCCCCATTGCCCAAACTAGGTTTGATTTTGAAATTGTTTGATATTTTATAACAAAGTAATATTAAAACTTACGCACATCCCTTCATTTCTAATAATTCATGTGTTTAAAACATTTCACAGGGCTATGCAGTTTAGTGATGATGAAGAAGAAACCAAACGTGTTGTGCGTAGTGAAAAAGACAAAAGGTAACAAGACATTAATTCATTATTTTATTTTTTGTCAACCTTCAGTTACTGTGTTTATTAAAGGTAAATTTTCCCCCCTATTTTATGCCAATTTCTCTGAAAAATTAGGCTACTTTTTGTTGTTTTAATATGAGCTTCTGTGAATTAATAACTGAAAATTGAGTAAGTAAAAAAAGTATAGTTCCATTCTGAACCAGACAGTACATGGGGCAAGTGAAGTAAAGTTTACTTTGTATCTATGACCTCAGCATATGAAGGGATAGTGTGGTCAGCACTAAACTTTACTTGCTCAGAGCTGAGACATTCTGTGGGTCTGATTCCAGATTCAAAATCGAGACCTTTTTGGTTAGCAGTCATATGCTCTATCTTGGGCCAGGTCATTCCATCAAAAAATGAGTGTTACATTTAATTTGATGTCATTTTAATTGAGTATTAAGAATAGCCAACAATAAAGTAGAGGCTTCTCACTATAAATATTTCTACTCATTAGGAATGCTAAATTTAATATGCAACTTTTTCAATAAGCAATTTGTAAAATCCACTCAGATTTGAAGAGATTCTGACCATTATCAAGCAGTTAAAGAACCATAAAAAAATTAAGGATTTTGCCAACGTTTTGACAGGTAGCTTTTTAAAAAAAATTTCTTGAAATCAATGAAAATATACCATAATTATAATTAATGCATTTACATATTTGGGTGTTTTATGTTTTTATTTTTTTATAATCACTTTATTGTTGTGTATGATTTAACTGAGAAATTTTGTTTTGATAGATTTTGAAAGTTTGACTAAAGCTTTTGAAAAGGCTAGAAAAGTTGTTGACAAGGAGGGAGTGCCTAGATTCTACATCAAGACCTTGGTTGAGTTGGAAGATTTCATTAATGAGGTAGTTTATTTGTCATTTAATAATTAAAAAGCCGAAAGTGTTTAATTTTATCAATTACAAAGTTTTACTCAAGAAGGTATATGTAATACCTTTTTTAACACAGAGGATGACTTTTTTTTTGTTACAAATTTATACTGCTATCAATTCTAACAACAATTGATTTCAGTGCTGGGAAGACAAAGAATGGCGCAAGACAATTAGTAAAAACAATTCAAAAGGTTTATCTACAGTGAGACAGAAAATTAAAAAGTATAACAGGGATTTTGAATCTGATATTGGTGGATATAAAGCTGTAAGTTACATTTTTTTAGGTCTGTTGACTTAAAGAAAAAAAATATAAGCTTCTGCCTTTGTAATTAAGAACTTAACAAATTTGCTATTCTGGATTCACAAATGAAAAATAATAATTTTTTTGTTTAAAAAACAACATGAAAACTAAAAAATTATATTAATATAATCTTTTATAGTTGTTTCTGTTTTTAATTTTTGCTTTAAATTTTCAGAACCCAGATGCTGGTGATGAAGAAGCAGAAGAAGAAGATGATGTCAAAGGCGAGGATACTGAATTTATTATAAAACTTTTTGAATTTTCTTTAAAAAATGAACAGAATTTTGTTGGTGGTATTAAAAAAATTGTGTGTGTATAGTTGTAATTGCTAAAAATTTTATTATATAGAAATATTTATCTTTTAGAAGTTGTTGATGATGAGAGTGAAGAAGAAGCCCCAAAACCAGTTGTTAAAAAAACTGAAGAGAAGGCATCAAAATTAGCTAAAGCTGTTGTGAGTATTTGTTCAATTGTAAAAAGTGTACATCTGTTGCAACTAAAAAATGTGCTCAGTTTTATAACAGTTTGCTTTCAACTATATACAATTTGAATTATAGGCTGATGATGATGACGATGATGACAGTGATTGGGGATCTGATGAAAGTGATGAAAGTTCTTCTTCAGACGATGAAATGCCAGCTATGGGAAAGCTGACTGCAGAATATTTCTTGAAATCGTATGTTAATTTTTCACAAACAATTTAAAATACCATACTTTATTCCATCAATTACAAAAAGGCAGAAGTTATACATTTTATTGCATTCATAATTTCTAGAACAACTGAACAAGAAGCACAAAGACGAGAAGAAAGGAAGAGAGAGAAAAGATTAAAGAAAGAAGAAAAGGAAGGAAAGAGAAAGGAAGAAGATGAAGATGATTGGCAAGAAGTCAACAGGGGTCCCCCAAGTCAAATTATTATGGTAAGTAGAAATAGTTTTTCAATAGTTAACTTCAATAGCGAGTATGTAATTTCAGTATGTACTATTAAAATACCCTTTGTATTTTAGGAAAAACCAAAGATGTTTGCTAAAGATCAAGAAATTACTGTTGAGGCTGTTGTGAAAAAGCTGAATGAGATTATTGCGATGAGGGGCAAAAAGGGCACAGACCGTTCCGTAATGATTGATATGTTAAGAGAATTGAAACAGATAGCTGAAGCAAACAATCTTGGGCAACCTATTTCTGTCAAAATTTGCTTCAACATTATGGCTGCCATTTATGACTACAATCCAAACATTGCAACATGCATGAAGAATGAGATGTGGGAAAAGTCAGTGGCTTGTTTTATTGATTTTAAATATATTATTATAAAATTAAAAATAGATTATAAAATTTATAGCATTAATAATAGTTTGATAAAAGTTTCAAAGTATAAAGTTTTGCCTATTTTTCTTTCCGTCAGTTCATGTTTGCCTACTATCATCGAATTGCTGAATGTGCTTGTTGAAAACAGTGACATCATCGTTGGTGAAAATATTTCTGAAGAAAGCGAACAGTTGGATGTAAGTTACATGTTAAGTCATATGCAAATGTTTGAATTTTAATTGTCATAAATTGTTGATACATTTTTACTTCATTAAAAAAAAACAGAAAGCGCCCTTTCGCATACGCGGATGTATTTTAACCATGGTTGAGAGACTGGATGAGGAATTTACCAAAATGTTACAGGCCTGTGATGCTCATAGTACTGAGTTTGTCGAAAGGTGAGATAACAATACTACATAAGTAAGCTTAAGATATAATTTTTTATGATATAATTTTTATTACACATGCAACTTTTTATTGTATTTTTAAACCATATGTTATGTCATATTTAAGATTTCATTTGCTTTTACTTCCAGATTAAAGGATGAACAGGCTTTGTGTGACATTATTGACAAGCTAGAGAGATACTTGGAGAAAGCTGGCAATGCTGATGAAATGTGTCGTATTTATCTTAGACATATTGAGCATCTTTATTATAAGGTTTGTGTTTTGAATTTATTAGGAAATGTTTATAAGTTCTTAAAGTTTTGAATTTTTTTATAATCACTAACATAAATATTGCTTTAGCATTATACACGTTTTTAACAAAAGATTTTCTTTTTTCTAGTTTGATTCTTCTGCGTTTGATGTGAAACATGAAAATCCAGTAAGTATTTTTAACTATGGTGACAGATGCATTGTTTTCAAAATATCAGAATATCAGAAGGTGGTATCACTCATATGGATATCCGCTTTTTTCATTTGAGAAAATGTTTTTATCTTTCTGCCCACCAAAATTTTGGAAATCAGTCAGAACTTTTTTGCAGCTTTTTTATTTTGCCTGAAAATTTAAAAAGTAAAACATCTTAGTAACACCTGCTCTTCATGGTCTAGTTTGTAATATTTAAAAAAAAAAAAAAACCTACGATGTCTTAGGTTTGACATGTTCTGAGTCTTGTGTGATTTGATTATGGGGCACGATCATTTTTCAGATTTATGTCTAAATTATAATAAGTCCTTGAAAGGTTATATTAATAGGAAAATGTGTAAAGCTTGAGAAAATTGTCATGTTGCCTAAGTTAATTACATTGGCGTGGAAAACTACAAAAAGTGTGTATGATGATATTTCCATTTTAAATTTTACAGGAGAAAACCTCTGAAGCTTTGATGGATAAGATGTGTAAATTCATTTACGCCAAGGATAGTACTGACCGTTTGCGTACACGTTCAATGCTTTGCCACATCTATCACCATGCACTGCATGACCGCTGGTATCAAGCCAGAGATTTAATGCTTATGTCTCATCTTCAAGACAACATTCAGCATTCTGATGTTTCTACACAGGTACTTCACTCTTGGCTTTGAGGAATAACTTTTTATATATATTTTAAAGTACATTGAACTGTTTTGTAGATATATGTAACAGTAAAACTATTGGTCATCTTCTTTGTGCCTTAAATATTTTAAATTTCAATTTAGATTTTGTATAATCGTACATTGGTGCAACTTGGACTCTGTGGATTCCGTCAAGGCCATATCAGAGATGCTCATAATGCATTAGTAGACATTCAGAGTAGCAACAGAGCTAAGGAATTGCTGGCTCAGGTCTGTGGATTTTGTAACTAATTGGTATTTGCTTTTTATGTGCTATTTCAGAAAGGTGTTTAGTTACAAATGTTTTTTTTCCAGGGTTTGGTGCCACAAAGGCAGCATGAGCGCTCTCCAGAGCAGGAGAAGATTGAGAAGAGACGTCTCTTGCCCTACCATAAACATATAAATTTAGAGCTGCTGGAATGTGTTTATCTTGTCTCTGCCATGCTTTTGGAAATCCCCTATATGGCAGGTTAGTTCTTGAGCAGTTTAAAGATTCTTTTCTTAGTGAGATTGTTTTACTAATATATTGATAATTTCTAGCTCTTTCAAACATTACAAAGTTTATGTTCTATTCCAGCTCATGAGTTGGATGTTCGCAAGAGAATGATCAGTAAAAACTTCCACCATGTATTGAAAATGAGTGAGAGGCAAACACTGACAGGACCGCCAGAGAGCATGAGGGAACATGTTGTGGCTGCTAGTAAGGCCATGAAAAATGGGGACTGGAAAAAGTGCCGGGATTTTATCATCAATGAAAAGATGAATGCCAAGGTATCAACTTATAAGTTTTCAAACACATAATTTCAGGTAAATTTATTAATTATAGGAATCTGTTACATTTTTCACCAATGCTAACCAACGTTTGTGGTTTCATTTTAGGTCTGGGATTTGTTTTTCCAAGCGGATAAAGTGAGAGACATGATCAGTGCCAAGATTCAAGAAGAGTCTCTTCGCACATATCTCTTCCGCTACTCTTCTATGTATGACTCTCTCAGTTTGGATAGTCTAGCTGCCATGTTCCAGATTGAAACAACCCTAGCCCATGCCACTATAAGCAAGATGATCATTAATGAAGAGCTTATGGTAAATATTTTGTTTGCTGCCATTTCATTTTAGAAAATTAATACTGTTGGTTGATTTTTTACTATTATTTGGATGTGTATTTGAGGACATATTGAAAGCCAAAGAGATTGTAGTTTTAAAATAAATTGTTAAAATCCCCTTTTTTATTTTTCTTGAAAATATTCATATTCATTTATTAATGAAAAATGTGCAGGCTTCCCTTGATGAACCTACCCAGATTGTTGTAATGCATCGAACTGAGCCCACTCGTCTTCAGTCTTTAGCTCTTCAGCTTTCTGAAAAGGTTGGATCACTTGTAGATAACAATGAAAGAATAATGGAGATCAAGCAAGGCAATTTCTTCTTCAATAAAAGCAGTAAGTTTGTTTATAAACATATAATCACATCTTAGCTTAGGCATGTAGTCCTACTAAATCATGCACATTTCTAGAGTAAAATATTTTAGAGATAATAAGAGTATTAGTAATTAGCTTGTATTAATGCTTTTATAATAGTTTTAAATGAGAAACAGTCTCTTTTAAGCTAGCTAGAGCTTTAGAAGATTTGATTATAGCATATAGAATTTAAAATATCCACTTCTTGACACAATATAACCTGTATTAACATGTATTATGTTATATTAAGCCCACCAAGTGACCAAGCCTGGTAACTTTAAATCCATTACCCATTTTATGCCACCATCACAAGCAATACATTTAAAACAACTTTTTTTTTAAAGTTCAGCTAAATATTTTGACACTATGGTTGAGGTTTCATTTTGCCAGTGTTTGTATACACATTTAGTAGTTGCTGTTGTAACGTGGCATTGAATATTATATATCTATAAGATAAGCGGTCAACGGCTGTATTAAAATGTTACATAAAAATAATTTTTTTGCAAGGCGCTAATTACCTTGATCAGAATAAACAGCATCTACTAATGTTTATATAAATTGATAATTAATAAGTATTTAAAGGTTCGGTCAGAATTCTTACATGCTTATACTTATACTTTGTCCAACGAATATTATTTTTAATTGTTAAAACTAGAATATTAAAAAAAATGCTTTTTCTTTCTCATGTAAGATTATGAATTATGTTAAAATTAATTCATATTAAATTAATTTACCATGAGCTATTTTTTAAAATTGGACAAGGCTATGCGTTTTATTACAGCTAAAGAAAAATGTTTTTATTCAATCACCTCAACTAAAGCTTTATTACTAAATTTCAATGAAGTTTATTTTTTATCAGCGATGCTCCATACATTAAAAAACATTGTTGCCACTTTTTTCTACAATGCATGTTAGTTTTACACAATCTCACTGCATAATAAAAGCTTTAAACTGCCAGGCTGACTGTTTTCATTAAATTTAATGACAGTGACATTTTCTTTTGTGTCATCACAATATAAATAGTCTGCATGCTAATCTTTGCTTTTAATTCAAATGATTTCCTCATTTTTTTCTCCCTTGCATTCATCCAGGATATGGTAATGGTGATTTTAATAGTAAAGTTTTCTTTGATGTTAAATTTGGCTATTTGAGTGGCAAATTAAGTTCACAGTATACATGTTAGATTTAAGACAACTAGTTTATCAGTCTGTTTTATTGTTACCTTGTTTTTGTTACACAGAAATCATTCTCTTATTATATTTATTGTTTAGCTGCTGAATATAACTATATTTTAAAATTTACAAATGTTTTAATTGTTTTTAAATATTTTTTATCTTCATATCTATACTTTAAAATAATAATTTAAAAAAAAAATTTAAAATTAATTTTGTTTTCAAACAATGCCACAGAACTTTTCCACAATTATTTTAAACATTTCCAGATCAAAGAGATAATTTCCAAAACCCACACCAGCATCAGCAACAACAGCAGCAGCAGTGGGGTAAGGAGCTATAATTTTCAAACATATTTTACCGTTTTTATATCTTTTCTTGCAAGAGTTCTTTTATAATTTTGTTTTAATTATATTTAATAGGTGGTCGTGGTCGTCAAAACAGAAATAATCCACATCAACAAAGGGCCTACTAGAGTGATCATACATCACCTGTTTTGTTGGAAAACTTGAAAAATTTGCAGTGACACATTCATTGCTATTGTCAGAATTCTGCTTGAGAGCCTAAAGCTTTTAACTGAGGTTAACTTATACATAATTTTAAGAATATAAATTACTCTATTTTATGGTTTTGTTTTGTTTAACTTTATGTGGTGTGAAATGGTTAGTACCTGTACCTATTTACTTGATTCAAAAAATACTTTTGTATTAATCAAAGAATGTTTTTGTTGTCAGCTAAGTAGTTTGTATTGTGTGTGTATAAACAGTGCTGTGGTCCCAGCTGTAACTATGGATATATCTGTGTCATTTCTAATAAGAATTAAGGAAAGTTTAGTTATAGGATTGGGAAAACTTGTTTATGGGATACATTGTTGGGGAGGACTTTGTTTTGACATACTTTCACTATTTTGGTACAGCTGACATTGATTTAAAGCTAGCTTTATTAACTGAAATATTTGGTTACGGTGATGTCAAGTCTGTAGAATAATTTGTCTTTTGAAAATAATTGAATAAAAAAAATCACAACAGGACAATTCTTTTACTTATGAATGTTTAGTCTGCAAGTAAATTTTTGTGTCAAATAAAGATGTCATCAATCCAGTATTTTGTTATAATGATGGATTGATTAGATGAAGAAATATACCTTTTATCAAATAATGTAAGGTAATAGTTCTAAATTGAATGGTGTAAGTAAAGCTTGGACAGGCAATGATTAAAAGTGCACCAGATCTAGTAAACCTTTTGAACTTGGCAGTCCATGGTGTAGATGAAGTAGAGTTTGCCCGTTTCCATGACCCTGGTAGAGATGGTGTGATCAGCACTATGACCAGCTGGGCGGAGCATAAGATCTGAACTCTACTTTCAATGATAGCAGTCGTGCGCTCTATCCAACAATGCTCTCCCAAGAAGTTAAAGAATTTATCTGTTATTAAGGTTACTAAACAATACTATACCTAAACTCAGGTGAATTGATTTTTAATGTTCAGTGACTTCCATGAAGAAAGTTAACATAAAATGTAATTTATTTTTAGACTCAGCCTGACCATAGAAAGCAACACAAACACTGCATTTAAAACAAACTTTCTGCATTTAATGTTATCAATAATTATTGCATACAAAAACAATTATATATTTCCATTAAGACAATTACATGTGGCATAGATCTTTTAATTGGCAGTGGGTTTAAAAACAGGTAGCAGTCCCATTTGAATAAAATGAGGAAATTGTTTGGAACAACAGTTTATCACTAATTAATAATTAGCTTTTTGCATGAATTTCAACTGCTGATGTAAAATAGTCCAATTTGAATTATTTCAACACAAAAATCTCATACCTTTAAATTACTGTTGTTGAATGTTTTTTAAGAGTGCAAGAAAAATTTAAGTCTGTAAAACATCTGATGTCCTTGATGTTTTTATCCAATGAAGAATAATACCTATTTTTTAAAAAATTCACTACATTTATTTTTAATATAAAAATCATCAAAGGGATAAACAATAACACTATTAAAAAACTAAGCATTTAGTCATAAGTTCAAACACTGATGGTAAAACAAATTTCTTGTTAGCTAAGTAGAAAAATGCATTGGTTTCTAATTCTATTCCTTACCGGTGGCTACTGAAACATTTAGTGAATCTATACTTTCTCCTGATTGGGGTATAAACAGACAGGTATCACAACAGTCTTCTAGCTCCCTACCTATTCCTGTTCCTTCATTTCCTGTAATCAAATAAGAGTAAGACAATAGTATTTTGAAAATGTTTTTAATTAGGTCATATTTTAAAGCTTGTTCTGTCTTTCCATTTTTAAAAAAACTGGCATAACACAAATTACAGTCATTTACACAAACTTAATGTAAAAGAAATAAGTTACTAGTTTGTCAAGTTCTATCAGACCTGATGGACCACAAGGTATAGTTCATCCATATTTTTCACCTTGGTGTATGAATGTACTGCTTATTCTGCACTCCACCTCTTTTAATATCCCAGACTCATGTAACCATTAAAACAGTGGTGGTCAGAATTGGACCTCAAGACTTTTGGGATAGCAGTCAAGTGCTCTATAATTTAGCCATACCATTCCACAAAAACAAGCTCACAAAACCAAAGCTCCCTACCAAATGAAAACGCTACCTAAAACAAGTAGAGTTGGCCTCCTCATTTTAAACGTCTCCAGTGTGCATGTCTTGTTGCCACCTCTGCCAGTTCCAACTACTTCACCACCCTGCTGCTTCCACCACTGAGCACAATATAACCAGATTACTCGTAAGAGGAACAATATATTCAATAGCATTGTTAAACCTGATTTCTCTAATCAGGCTAATTAAGTTTGTTGTTAAATGTTAATTACCCTATTTATTTTTAATAAGTTGTTTGATTTCATTTATGGGTTTTAGCCTTACTTTTTTGTTTTAGCTCATAATTATACATCGCAAAGTGACGTCTGTAGGGAAATCATCAAAATGATGTAGACTTTTCAAGAGATTATATGCCTCTTCAAAAGCAACTTTGCCCAGAAAAACTTACTTGACATAAATCTGTTTCTGTTGAGTTTTTTGATAACCTCATCAGGTCCACCACTTCCATAGCACCTGCACTAGCTTTGCTTACCACTGGACTCAATTTGCAACTGCAAAGAGCAATTATTTTGAAAGTTAGTTTAAAAAAAAAAAACAGGTTTATATTTATACTGTAATATTTTATAGCTTTGTGATAGGCTTCTACCTGTCAGATCCTGGCACAACAACACTATCACAGCCCAGGTAATAAGCAGATCTAAGTATAGCACCAAAGTTCATTGGGTCCTTTAAAGAAAATAGGTTAAACAACATTACTAATAAGTAATGTATCTCACTAATATGTATTAACAGATATATAGTACATATATCTGTACCAATGTATGAAATGATTACTGTAAACTAACATTTTAAATTTATAATGCATATGCAACTTCTAAATTGTTAAATTATTTCTTTTGAAAAGGATCTAATGAAAAATGATTGAAATGGATTATGTCTCTCAAAATGTACAGTTCTGTTGCATTTATCTGTACTATTAAATCTTCTCTCTACAAGTAAATTGATATTAAATATAGTATAAGGCTACAATTTTTTTTATCTTTTCATTTTAAATTATTCTGCAAAATTCACTTATTAGTTAATACACTTTATTAGTAAAATGTAATTCTAAATACATTTTTAAAAATTACCTGAATGTTATGGAGCAAAAGCCATATTGGAAGCTTATTCCTAAAAAATGATAAAATTCTTGAATTATAAAAAATCTGTATGCTTTATCAAAGCAATAAATGTATTAGAGAAAACTCTAAAATCAACAGGAGTGAAGCCCCGCTATATGAATACCAACTCAGGATTTTTCAGTAATTTCTGCAACTGAAGCTAGTACCAAATGTATTGCTTAGCATTCCTTTGGATTTAACCTGCCATGGTCGAGAGAGGCTTCACTATACATGAACAGCTCATGATCTAGTGCCCTGGTATGCAACCTGAAAATTAAATTCTATAGGTGGCTCCATTGTCTCCAGAGGCAAAATGGAGCGACATAAAAGTAATTTTGAAAATGATACATAAAAATTAGAATAGGCTACAAATCATTGAACTATTGAACAGGTATTGTTATAAGCAAATACAAGGCATAGCTTACCTTGGCAGTGTCCTGCTGTCACACCAAAGTGGAATTTCAAGTTTTGATACATCCATACATACACCCTGAGCTCAAGAAACAAAGAATTTATATATATATACATATATATACATATACATATATATACATAAATATATATATATACATATATATATATATATACATATATATACATATACATATATATATATATATACATATATATACATATACATATATATATATATATACATATATATATATATATACATATATATACATATACATATATATATATACATATATATATATACATATATATATATATATACATATATATACATATATATATATATACATATATATACATATATACATATATATACATATATATATATATATATATATATATATATATATATATATATATATATATATATATATATATATATATATATATATACATATATATATATATATATATATATATATATATATATATATATATATATATATATATATATATACATATATATATATATATATACATATATATATATATATATATATACATATATATATATATATATATATACATATATATATATATATACATATACATATATATATATATACATATACATATATATATATATACATATACATATATATATATATATATATATATATATATATATATATATATATATATATATACATATATATACATATATATACATATATATACATATATATACATATATATACATATATATACATATATATACATATATATACATATATATACATATATATACATATATATACATATATATACATATTTATACATATATATACATACATATACATACATACATATACATACATATACATACATATACATACATATACATACATATACATACATATATATACATACATATACATAC